AGGGCCCCCATGGCTGCCGCCGTGGGGCCTGACCAGCGCGTTGGGGCCCGGGGGTTCTCACGGCTTCGTCCTTTCGCTGGGGCAGTTCGTTTGTGAGCTAATTTTGTATGTGGCGTACAGTGGGTCCCCGTGCATTTTTGTGTGTGTGGATACCCTGTTGTCACAGCAGCACTTGTTGAAGGCGCGTCTCGTGTCCTCGTTGAAGCGTCTTGTCACCCTCGAACACCAAGAGCTTGTTTCTGTGGGCTCGTTTGTGAGCAGATTCTGAGGCCCTGACCCCCTCGCCTGCTCGCCCGCACTGGCCTTACAGCGTTGCAGGAGCTTTGTGGCAGCTTTGAAATTTGAGCAGTGCCTCCCCCAACGGCCTGTGCTTTTTCAACATTGTTGTGGCCACGTGGGCTGCAGGATCTGCTTGCCAGTGTGTACAAAGCAGGCAGTTGGAGTCTAACAGGCCTGGAGGGAGCCTGGATATTGTCGTGGGGGGTGGTGGCCTTCATGACAGCTTTGAGTGTTTAACCCTCGCATGCGCCCGGCCCTCCCGTCTCTTCCGGCGGGCCTGCAGTTGCGGGAGTACACAGCTCATCCGCAGTTCTGTTAAGTCAATTCCCACTAGTTTATTCCCTCAGTGATACTGCAGGGGATTATGTTCTTCACCTTTTCCCTGTGGTAGCATACGGGAATACAAGCGACTGGCGCTGGCACGTTGACCAGGTCCTTGTGCTGGGGGTGGGCTTCTTGCAGGCCGTGTGTCGTGTCACATGCGTCTACGCGCGTTCTGTGAGGTTGTACGTGTGCTGTGCATACGTTACCCGTATGAATGGCCTGTGAACAGATGCTTGCTCCTTTCCAACCCGAAGGCCTTCCGCTTGCCTTGTCCTGCCTAATTTCCCTACTCGGGATTTTGAGTACAGCGTTCAGTTGAAGTGGCCAGAAAAGGCTTTTGTGTGCCACCAACTGTTCACTCAAGGGGTTAGGCCCACTGGGCCATGGTGTATAATGAGTGGTCAAGACGTGCTCTGTTGGAGCGCGTAGGATCAGCTCTCGCAAGTCACTGTGGGGGGTGTATGTGTGTGTTTGGGAGAGAGAGAGAGGAGAGGGAGAGGAAGAGAACAGGGAGAAGAGAGGGAGAGGCCGCATGACGAGAATTCAAGGCATTTGGGTGCCCAGCGATCAATGTGTGAAGGTGGGAGAGTCGGCGCTGTGCAACGTGCCGCGCTGCGTGTGTAGCAACGCGGTCGCCAGGCGTGTCCGAAACCGGTCTGCCTTTGTCCTTCACAGAGTGGCGCCGTGTGCGCTCGCTCACAGGAGTGCAGCTTCTGGTGTCACCCTCTGTCAGCGCACTTGGCGATAACCCTTCCAGCCTGGCGCGATGTGGTACCTGCTGTGGTACCTGCTCCGTAGCTCTGGGAGGCGGCAGAGAGAAACAGGTCTTCTGCTAACTCCTGAATCCACAGGCCTGAGTAACTGACTCTTGCTTCTGCCCACGTCTTCTCAAAGTGTGATCTGAAGACGCCTGCCTGGATTGGTCTCTGAAATCCTTAGCACAGTCTGTGGGTAAAGATTACTGTTATGGTAACACTAAGATGTTTCCCTTTTTCACATGTTATCTTGGGTAAACACATGACTTTTCCAGGTGCCACTTTTCAAGAAAAAGATTCATTTCTTGATGCACACAGAGCTGGGGCACAGGCCAGAGGCTCAGGGCGGTGAGAGGCTTCACTGGAGATGGAGCGGGGCGCGGGACAGGCAGGTGGACCAAGCCCACTGCCGCGGGGGCAGCGGGGAGACAGGCCAGGTGCGCCGCGCCCTGGGGGCCCTCCCTGGCGGGGGTCGAACTTGAGCTGAGAAAGCCGCTGCCATTTCCGCAGTGCCGCCTGCGATCTGTGCGCCACCGCGGGCCTTCCATTCCGCTCCTCGACATGCAGCTTGGGCTTTCTGAAGGCTGCGGGATGTGCCTGCGCCCTGGGCTCTAGTATTTCTCAGTCAGCCTTCATGTAACTGGCGTCCATAAATGTGACCCACGCCAAGGGTCTCTGGGGCCCTCAGTAACTTTTGAGACTGATCAGGGGTCCCTCGGCCAAAGGGGCTACAAGTGGCTGCTTTGTGGAGACTGGCTCCTCGGGCATGTCTTTCTTTTTCTTATAAATTACTTAATTTAAGACTTTTCGTGCGTTTGTGCACCCCTTGGCTTCTCCCCTCAGGTGCAGACACCTAATCTTCCTGCCACCATAGTCCAATCTGCATTTCCAACCAGCTAGTTGCCACCATTGTTTATTTTATTTACTTATTTTTCAAGACCTATTTGTGTACGCACACAAGAACTGGGGTGCAGCCAGAGGTGTGAGGGTGGTGAGAGGCCCCCCAGAGAGAGCGGGGAGCAGAACAGGCAGATCCACAGAACCACTGCTGAGGGAGTGGCGGAGAGACAGGAGCGGTCTGCTGCACGCTGGGGTCCCTCCCTGGCCGACCAAACTGTGCTTGTGGGGCTGCGCTTTAACCCCTGTGCCACCAAGGAGGCACCAGCAACAATTTTTAAATCGGTGACTTATCGCTTCTCTCTGGAAATGGGGCGGACACCTGTCTGAAGAAGAGTCGCCAAGATTATACCCAAAGATTGAAGGGATAAACGAGCCCCGGGCCCTCCCTGCTGGCAGCGTGTTAAAGCGCAGCTGCTTCAGGGTGAGCTCGACCCGCCCGGAGGTGACCCGCAGGGCGCAGCAGACCTCTGCTGTCTCCCCGCTGCTCCCTCAGCAGTGGACTTCATCGATCTGCCTGTTCTGCTCCCCTCTGTCTCTGGGGAGGCCTCTCACCGCCGCTGCACCTCTGGCCTGCACCCCAGTTCTGGATGCGTGAATAAACAAATCTTTGTTTTTTTTAAAGAATATATGAGCCCGTGTTGTAACCCTGGGAGAAGAGCAACCGCCCACACCATGTGACTGACCGCAGGTCCGTCAGAGGCCTGGCTAGAGATGGGGCCTCCGTTTGGGGGAAGGGGCAGCTTCTGTTTCGCACCCCGGGTGAAGTAGATTTGTCAGTATTAGTCTCCATGGTGACACTTGCTGTTCCGCGCCGGGCGCATGTGCAGCTACAGTGTGGCCACTTTAAGCCTGAGGCCACAGGGATGTCACCCTATGTCAAGTAGCAGCCGAGAGTCGACGGTAGCCTGTGAATGATTCCCTGCCGGTCATCTGTAAACAGGACCTGTGACTGGGCGAAAAGAGAAAAAGACACCAGAACCAGGCCAGAGCAGGAGACCCAGTCACAGGCCAGTTAAAGGGGAAGCTTCATACGGCTCAGCGCTAGTTTTCCTTTGGGAGCACGCGGCCATTACAAGCAAGACCGCGCGTCGGCCCTAGTGGGCTTCCTGTCAGCGCCAGAGTTGGTGAGCGACCCCGCCCTCAAGGAACTTCCGCTTCCCAGGCGATGTGTTCTGCTATCCAAGCATATTGGCTGTCGCTTTCCTTTCCATTCTCTAATTCTTACTGTCCACTTTCTGAACGTGTCGAGGTGTTGCAACATGTCGGACGCTGAAGACGTCGTCCGCCCAGAGGAAGCATCAAGAGCATCAGGCCGCTCTTGTTCAGCCTCCTCACCCTGCTGCTGTGCCCACTGCCCAGCGACAGGCCACGCAGTGAGGAAGTACAGGCCCAGGCTGACAGCCAGAGCTCTGCTCGGCTGTGGCTCACGGCACACAAGTGCACATTCTTCATTGCTTCCTCGACACCTTCAGGTCTTTGTGCCACTCTGCCAGGCTTTTGCTGACGCGTAGCTCACTCTCAGGTCTCCTCCTCTCTGCCGCTGGCTGCATGTGGACAACATGAGAGGGCGCAGCGTGGCAGCTGAACAGGAGGCTGCCAAGCGACAGAGATGCCTGCGGTTTGTCGAGCACCTTCACAGGAGGGTTGCCCAGATTCGTCACTTGCCAAGGGATGAAGTGACTGAAGTCAGCATTCTCTTGGGGCTACAGGAGGGGAGAGAGGGCCCCCCTGCTTGTCTGCCGAGTTGCTTTTCCTTGGAGAATCGGCTTGGCGTACATGCTCCCATCCCACGATGTGACGTTTCCGCTGGAGTACATTTCCTAGCCAAAGGTCATGAGAAGCTTTGGGGCAAGATCTGTGTCGCCTCATTAAGCTGAGGTGCGCAGCATAATTGCACTAACCAGGTTTTTCCTGTGTCGACAGAGTGACTTACAATGTCCCAGGCATTTCCCTTTGGTGGGAGAAATTGCACTGTGGGTCCGGGCATCCGTCAGCTCTGACCGTCGACGGAGTGCTGATGATGAGTTTGGCCAGGTGGCTTTGCTTTGACGTGCACGCTCCCTGTCCTGTGCTGTCCTGTCTGTCTGTCTGTCTCTAACACACACACACACACACACACACACACACGGAGCCTACAGCCACACACAGAACAGTTCCCTAAGTCTGGGAAGTAGTGGACATGTTCCTGCACTTCGGGGGAGGAGGAGCTGTGCCCCAAGACGGGTAGGAAATGGACCCACCCCTGCACCGCGACAGCAGCCGGTGTTGGCAAGCCGAGCGGTCACATGTAAAGAAATGAAGCCAGCCTGCTGTCCAGCGGCAGCACAGCAGTGAGTGCCAGTGGGTGACACCTGAAACCCATAACGTAAGCGGGAGGAAACGTGGGTCATGTGTTCCTGGGCTCGGGCCTTTGCGATGTCTCTGGGGACTCAGCTGCTGGGGCAGCGTGTCGTGTGCGCAGCAGAGATGAAAAAACGAGACCACATCAAGTCAGAGTGCACAGGGAACGACACTACTATGAGCGAAGATCTTCCTGCTGAATGGGACGTGAAGTCTGTAGATCCTACATCATATATGGAACTGAATCCTGCAGCAGGAAAATAATGCAATCAAAACGCGGGCAAAGGCTCTGAGTAGACAGGAACGCACCGGCCGGCTAGCGGCCGCCAGGCACGTGAGAACACGCTGCCGCCGCTCCCGGGCGGGGGCGCCCGTCCAAACCGTGGGGGCAGCCGCGCCTGTGAGCGAGCGAGCGTTGGTGAGGATGTGCACACCGCTGCCGCCACTGCGGAGGGTCCTCGAGACGCGAAGCGGCGAAACCACTGCTGACGAACTGCTGTCGCAGTCTGGAGAGCCCCAGAGAACAGCAACCCTGGATTCCAAGGGCTGTCTGCACCATCTTCAGTGCATCGTTCGGCACAGCAGCCGCGTCGGGAGCGCTTGCAGCGTCCGTGTGCGCGCGGTGACGGGATGGAGACGTGAGGCGCGCACGCGCTCTCGGCTGTGCCTAGCATGTGCGGCAGGAAGTCAGGCAGAAGAAAGCTAACCAACGCCACATGGCTGCACCCGTGTGGACACAGGAGAAACGACACCGTGAGCTAAGTGAAGCGAAAACACACTTTTTAAAAGAATAGTTTGTTTTTCCATCCTTTTGTGCCTTTTCCCGTCTCAGCTGCCACCCCCTTGGGCTGCCCGTCACCGAACCACCCTGTGCCGTCGCCACAGGCCAGCGCATTTCCCTCCCCACGCTGGTTCTGATCCCATCCGCACTCCACCCCACAAAATGTCTCTGGTCTGTAGCTGTTCATTACTCTTGTTATTTCTCGCCTGCTCCGTTATACTCCTGCTCATAGCATGACCCTTCCAGCTCCATCCATGTTGCTGCGAAAGGCATGTGTTGCTGTTTTTTTTTTGGTGGCTGAGTAATATTCCATTGTGTATCTGGACCACATTTTTGTAATCCAGGCATCCACTTTTGGGACTTGGGCTGTTTCCATGTCTTTCCGATTGTGAATAAAGCAGCAGAAAACGGGGGTGCAGGCGTCTTTTTGAATCAGTGTCCGAAACACACTTTTAGCCCAAGTTTGTGCTCAGCAGAGGGGACAGCGAACAGGGCCAGCTGGGCTTTCGCGCGGCATGAGCATCGTATGGACAGATACTGTGGCGTGGTCACGTGCACTTGAACCTGTGTGACCGGTGGGCATCGGTGAGAAATCACTGACAAGACCGGCAACGCCGTGTACAGTGGCGCAGCTGCTCGGGCCGCCCTCTCTGTGCCTGGGCAGCTCCACGCTCCAGCCTTCACCTGAGTGAAGTGAAAACCCAGCAACACTTCCACGTGAGCACTCATGGCGCCTTTATTCAGAACAACCCGAAGCTGGAGACAACCCAGGTTTTCCTTCACAAAAGTGTGCATGTTTTTTGCGGCCTCACTTTCCAGAACAGGCCACACTCCTGTCGCAGTAAAGTGTCAAGACAGTGGCCACTGTGCAGGGCGGGCTGGGAGGAGATGGCCTTTCTTGAGCGGGCATCTCCTGGGGGTGGCGGAGGGAGGGGCTGCAGGGTGAGGCAGGCCGCAGTCGGCAGGTGCATGCTCACTGCTCTACTGTTGCCCTGTGTAGATTTTACCTCAAAACACAAAACTGTAAGGAAATACCGCAGTGTAAGCACGTAAGTCTTGAAGAATTTTAGGGGGCGTGTGCGATGTGCTTTGAAATGTCTGCAAAATGAGATTCCGACCTGGCTCGAAGCACAGCCCGGCTGCCCGTGTCTCCTGTGAAACAGTTTTGACTTTTCTTTGTGGCAGAAAATGCTCGTAATAAGATGTAGAACACCTAGTCATGGCTGCAGGCAAGGGAGATGCAAGGGCTGAGGGGCCGCGTTGCCCGGGGCAACTCCCGGAGGCAGAGAACCAGCCTCACCCAGTGCCTGGACTGCAGCGAGAGCGCTCCGCTCCGTTCTTTTTATCTCCCTCCTGACTGGATGTGGACGAAAAGGCTCAGGACAGCGGAGGTGCCGCTGACCACGTGCGGGGCTGCTGGCGGGGGCACCCGGCGCCTGCTGGCCGGCCGGGTCATGCGGGAGAGCTGTGCAGCCCCCTAGATGGAGAGACTGACAGCCTCCCCCGGGCTTCTAGTCTGTTTAAAAGAAACTAAACGCGCACGGATGAGCCACAGCCGGCGCCGGACACAGTGGGGGTGGCTGTTGGTAGTGAGGTGGCGATGGGCAGTGTTCGGGAGTGGAGGAGGATGGCGAGTGAGCGAGAGTGCGACCGGAAAGACGCTGCGGCGAGGCAGAGGCGGCGGCGCCAGGCAGGCCCGCGCAGCAAGGGAGAGCGCGTGGCGCTGGCGCCGGGGTGGCATCGTGTGCGCGTCAGCGACGCCGCGTTTCAGCTGTGAAGCTGTGGCCGCGCTGACCTCGCGAAGGCCTGATGGGGACATGAGATGGAGAGGTCGTAACAAGACGCAGAAAGCACGGTGGCAGCATCCGGAAACAACGTCGGCAACAAGCAGAGAAAAGCAGAGCGGGCTCGCGCTGAGGGCGCCGGGACGCGGGCCTGCACCGCCATGCTGCGGGCCTGGGGCTGGGAACAGCGGAAGGCGAGCACCCGACAAACTCGGACACCAGGGTTTTCATTTGAGCAACTTGACAGCTCGTGCGTGGCTGCGCTGCTAGCGAGAAAGGTTAAATTAAAGGTGCAAACAGTCATTTCCCTTTGGCCACGGTCAGCAAGAGAAGAGCTGGTCAATACTTGAGGCTGCACCCGGCCCTGCTGCTTTGCATTCCATCTCCTCGCCCCCCACCCCCCAGAATGAGGCCGCAGGTCCTGGCCTCTCTCATCTGACGCCATTGAGCCCTGAAAGCTGCTTTATTTCTTATTCTTCCTACCCGAACCCAACAGTCTTAAGTTCTAGGCCCTTAAAGGAAATCAATAACCACAATCAATTGCGTGTTATCACCCTCTCCTGCTGCCCTCAGTAAACCCAGCCCCACGCGCCTTACCAGCCCGCACCTCGGGCTCATCCTTGCACGCAGAGACACGATCAAAAACAAACCCTCAGAGGCCCCTCTAGTAAGCGGCATCTGTCTGTCTCGTCAGGTCAGTTCCGTTTCTTGTTTGTGGTGAGAACATTTAAGATAGACACCCCCTTAGCTAACTCATCATTGCAGTCTAACAGACGATCAGATCAACCCTTTTACACCTTAAATTTACAGTGTCACTTGCCTGTTAGATCTGAACGAAGCCTGGTGTGCACCAGGTCCCATGTGGGAAAGTGACTTTGCACTCGTCATTCTGTCTTTCCAACTTCTTGTAAGTTGATTTGAATTCCTCTTAAGCCCATACTCAAACCAAGTTTGTTTTGTGTTAATATATAACATATAACAAGTACATTTAAGAAATCTGTACAAATTTCCAAACTATGGATGGGCCAGTACTTTTTTTTTTAAAAAGATTTATTTACTTGTACATACAGAGCTGGGGTACAGGCCAGAGGCTCAGGGGCGGCGAGAGGCTTCACCAGAGACAGAGTGGGGAGCAGAACAGGCCGATGGACGAAGTCCACTGCCGAGGGGAGCAGCGGGCGGGTCAGGAGGGGTCTGCCGCGCCATGGGGTCACCTCCGGGGCAGGCGGGGATCGAGCTCATGCGGAGGCGGCTTAAGCTTCTTAGCGCTGTGCTTTAACCCGCTGCGCCACCGGGGAGGGCCCTGGGCCAGTACTTTTTCGGGTAAGTTATTTCCACTTATTTTGAAAAAAATAACAAGTAAACAATATTAAGTTCCATTTATATAGTAAGGTGGGTTTCTAATCATTTCAAAAAGTTTTGTTCCTGTAAGTCTATAAAAGACTAAGCAAAGATATTTCCAAATGATGCTGTTTCTAGGAGAAGAGAGAGAAATGGTTATATAAATTGTCAGCAGTAGATATGATCTTGGTTTATAAAGAGAGGAAAATGACCAAGAAACTCCGTTACCATCACATACAGGAAGTGTGCTCTGGAAAACTGAATCCGCCAACCCGTGGGCTCTTGCAAATAGGTCGCGTATGCTGGCCCAGAGCTGGCTTGGTGTATGCGGCACCACCCCGGAGAAGCCTGAAGTGCAATGCCATACCGCCCGGAGACGGCCCCTCTGTCTGATGACGCGTGGGAGGACCTGTTAGTTATTTGCATTGGCATGGTGTCTTTCCGGTACTTCACTTGTTCACACATAACAGTGGACAGTTTTTCTGCAGATTTCCATCGATCGGGTGAAGATGATAGTGGAACACACTGGCATTCTAGACCATTCTGTCAGCGACTCATACTGTAGGAAACTGGGGGCGGGCACAGAAGTGCAGCCTAGGAAGCTGCTCTGGGCCTGCTTCCAGCAGCCTTCACATCTGCGCACTCACCTTCCTGTCCACGGCGAGATGTTCCTGTGCAGCTGCTTTAGGGCTGACTGGTCTAGGGCTCCCCTCACCCCCCCCCCCGACCTTTCGGACGTGGAGGGAATGAGGAGAAAAGGGTAGTTTGCAGGAGTGAGTATTTGGGGAGGCTTGATGCTTCATGTGCCTCCCCTTGAGTTAGCATTGGAGGTTTTATTTTTGTAGTTATTTTCCTGGTGGGCTTAGAGTTGGCTCAAGGCCACTTTAAGGGCTTAGCTCGCAGACTTCATCTTATTTCCTGAACCTTCAAAGGGCAAACAGGATATGTTCTTCCTCTTGAACCATAATCTCGATGTCATTCTATGCTTACCAGCACGGCTTCTTGAACATTCTCAGACTGTGTTTCAAGCTGAGTGATTCACAAATGTTGACTGTTCTACAAGCACAGCGTTCTGTGTGTGCACAGCGAACTCTAGCTGGTCTGAGGTCGGCAAGTACCGCTCCCACCGGGGGAGGTCTAACTTGCGTCTAACATGACTGGGGATTGTCCTGCAAGGCAGTTAGAAGAGCAGACTAGCAAGCGGAAAGAACCCTGCACGTAGGAGCAGGAGACCTGAGCTCTGAGCCTGTCCGCTCAGCTGGTAGCAGAGCGCTCTGGCCCAGTCAGTTAATGTGTCTGGGCCTCGGGTGTCTCCTCAGCAGAACGGAGCGGAGCATCAGATCATCAGAGTGCTGGGTGCGAGTGTGCTGCGCAGGGGTTGCCTGGTGCCGGGTAACGTTATTCATCACCAGCCTCTGAATCAAGGCCTAGAAACCATGGAAGGCCAAAACTGGGTGGTCCTTGTACACCATCTCCTCTGATGCTCTGAGCGATGAGATGGGGACACAGAGGCGACGGAGAGGCGATGGCGGGCGTGTGCAATGTTGCCCCACCCACATGGTGGCTGGAAGCCGGGGGTTGGCTTCACTCACTGCTCTTCCTGGTGTACAGCGGCCCCGGGGCTGGGGAAGTGCACCAGTTACTTTGAGGTCTTCATCAGATTTGACATGTAAGGGACGTCAGAGATTGGAAATCCAGGCCTCGGATAAAGCAGCGTGGACGGAAATCTGCCTGTTTTGCTGGAACAAGGCTGGGAGCACCTGCTGCCTTTTTACTGGTGTTCACTCTCTGCAAACGCACTACTGCAGGCAAACCGGAAACTAAAGAATCCGTATTAAGCTGATCCTTTTTGCCAACCTGTCTGTGTGTTCTGAGTGAGAGGGACTTTTTCTACAAATGCAATTACACACTTGATCTTAGCCAAAAGGCCGAGAAGCGATCGCGATCACAAATGCAACTCCACAGGGCAGAATGCTCTCCAGCCGCTCGCGGGCTATGAGAAGCCGGGTCACGTGCAGCTGACCCTGGGCTGGTGGACGCAGCATTCATGAGTCTAAGCTGGACGACCTTTCGTTCCTGCCCTTCCCAGGCGCTCACGTGGCTGTCGGTTCCTTCCAGGGGACGTTACAAACAATCCACACACAGCCGGCCATTTACTAGTTAAGAACATTGCTGTAGCAGCCGATTACCTAGGCTGCACTGCCTGTGAAATCAAATTAAAAGGAGTGCTTGCTGACAATGCTCCTGAGGCGCGAATCTTGGGAGGTCGAGTAGCACTAATTAATAAATGATGAGTAAATCTTTCCCCAGGTAAACAAGTTTAAGAAGTTGCTGTTATGCAGTAGAGGACTTCTGGGGCACCTGTCAAGCTATGAGAGGGTGACAACGAAAGTCTGCAGCAGCTTATGGCCTGCGCTCCGTTCTCTCACACTGCCCTGCCAACACCTGCCACCCGCACATAAACTTTCCAAGTTAGGAGGGACGACAAGTCTGTAGCAACAAAACAACCCAATGAAAAACTCGGTAGAGCATCTGAATGGACACTTCTCCAAAGAGGACACAAAGTGGCCAACGGACACGTCGAAACCCATCACCACCAGCGAGATGCAGTTTCCACTTGCCACGTGGGCTGACCCAGCTCCCACGGGCGGAAACTGCTCGCGATGGTGCGGGCGCGCAGCACGTGGGAGGGCCACACGCTGGGGAGGTGCAGGAGGGCCCAGGCCCCTGGAAGCAGTGCGGCGTTTCCTCAAAGCATAAACGTGCAAACTCCGGCAGGTTCACTCTTCCTACCTCTGGGTATTTACCTGAAGAACAGGACAACATTAGCCCAAACAGTTCTTGTTCATGTTGACTGCAGGGCTATTTACAATAGCCGTGACGTGGACACAACGTAAGCAGATGAGTGAGCAGAGCGCGTGTGATGTACAGTATTCAGACATAAACAGCACTGTCACCGCCTATGAGAATACGGATAAGCCCGTTATGCTAAATGCGAGAAGTCAGGTCAAGACAAACGGCATCAATTCAAAATCTATAAAAATTGAACTCATGGAAACAGAGAGTAGCTTGTGGTTGCCAGAGGGAAAGTGGGTGACGGTGGTCAAAGGTGCAAACTCCCAGTGAAAAGACAAGTCTCCTGTCTACCCACGAGTGAGAGAGCAGGGCTCATCCAGACGCCTGGGCCAAAGCTGAGCAAAGCCAGACATGACCAGATCCCGTCAGGGTTTGCTAACCCAGTTCTAGGAGATCACACTGGTCAGAAATAGTCATTGAGGAAAACTTGAAAACAGATCAGTAGCCTGATAGCTTCCTTCCAAAAGACTTCCAC